CAGCTCTTGGGAATGGCAATAAGCTACGAGAAAGGATGGCGTTGGACAGGAGGGCAAACAACGGAGGATGGACATTGCATAGCTCAGCCACCCTCCTCCTCTCCTCGACTGTGTACATACGCCCCTGTTGACCTCTCTCCGACTGTGAGCGCGGATTCTGGCCCTTCCGTTGGGGGCAGGTTTCAGTATCTCCGTACTTATAGGCAAGAATGACGATCACCTCAACATCCGCTATGACACCCTGCTCAGTCTGCTGTCCCAGAGTTATCATTTTGCCAGCAGACACTTTCGACTAAATCTCATCGAGATTGCAGTCATATACAGGGAGTCTACCCCCCCCCCCCCTCTCTCTCTCTCTCTCTCTCTCTCTCTCTGTATGTCTGTGTGTGTGTGTGTGTGTGTGTGTGTGGCATTTTTTCCCGTTACGCCGTTTAACTTACCCTTTCAGAGCACGAGACGCAGTGTCACTGGCCATGGGACCACATTAAATTTACGGCTGCAACCCTGGGCCAATGTTTCTGAATCTGATTTTGCGGCCAGAGCTCACGCAAAAAGGTACGGTAACTCCTGGGGCCAAGTCTCATTTGCAAAGACGATTGGATTAACCGCCTGAATCGGATGTGTTTTACACGGAGATGCAGAACAACTGATCTATCGTGACATTCTGCACTTTTCCGCAAAAGCGTCCAGATTCAGACCATTAATCCTGTGGGACCTTGCCCCTGGGGCCAAGTTCCACAAGCAGAGGTCCAGTTCAGTTTTAGACGCGTGCTACAGCCAGGACGCGCTAAAGAAAAGCAGAAAAAAAAACGGCATCTCTAATCTGCAGCCATTAGATCTGTGGGCTGCTCGAAAACGTCTGCTATTATATCACAGTGCAAATGGTAAAGATGGTAAAGATAGAGAAGATAGAGTATGACCGTAGCACAAATCATGCACGACGACTCAGGACAGCACATAATCGCCAAGGGCGACAATAATATGTGAGAAGCAAAAATCCTGAAGAATCTCCGAAAGATAGGAAATACAAGCCGAGATGGACACGGCCATATATGCCAAGGCAACCATGCCGAGAAGTCAACTCCCTCATCACCGTAAAAGGAACGTGAAAACCGGAAGACGAAGCGAACTGGAATTCCCCTACTAGTTTCAGGCGCTGCCAGTAAGCGGCCTCATCAGGGGGACTTCGAGATGCTTAAGAGATTAGTCTACTATTCTTTTATACTGACATTAAGCTCACAGGCACGATTAGAGACTAAGCTCACTTTCCCGAACTCGCTTGCGTCCCAAACGCGACCGGAACCTCCTGGCCCTGACCAGTACTCGCTAAATTCCAGAAACTTCTTAAAATTTAAGGATTGGTTGACCATCGACTGCAGCATCCCTCTGAGACCAGCAGAGGACTTCCCCGACCTATTCCCGCCCCACCCATTGTCTCTGGAGTTGCGACAGGAGGGATGACTCCACGTCTCCATGGCAGCAGAGTACGCCCGACAGCGAGGGCCGGGCAGGGGAAGGAAGGATCCACTGATGCCCGCCGGTGGCCCTTCTCTGAACCCCGTCCAGGCAGAGGACGTGTGCATCAGGCCAAGTCGGGTGCAGGCTCAGTCAGCGCAGTCAATCCTCTGATCTCCAGAGTAATTAATGCTGGTAGGTGCCATCAACTTACCCTCCCATGATCATGCATCATATTGAAGCAAAAAAAAGGACCAGTACGGAGGAGTAGGAACCTCGCGCCAAAAGGTGAAGAGGCTCCCCCCTGCTCAGTTAATCCCCTGGTCTCCAGGGCAATCAATGCTGGCAGGTTCTTCCTATTTTTCTCTAATGTGTTCTGATGTCTTCCAACTGTATCATACTCATAAGGGACGCTGGACCCGTTTTCCAGCAGCTGATGCTCCCCACCAATAGATTGAGCCTTTCCCCAGGTGGTAGCGGTGATTGCTCTCATCAGCATCGCTAGCACTGGAGGGATCTGTTTCTTCAAAGAAAAAAAAAGGACCAGGACTGCACCTGGACTACTAATGGCCCATAGCGACGGTACCGAACTGGTAACTTATTTACTTATACCCCCGGTAGCTTATTTACCTGCACTCTAATGGCCTGCCATTTCAGAAAAACTTGGTAGCAGCCTGGTTATTGGATCGAACCCCACCTCAAACGGTGAGCCGTGAAAAGCAAGGCAGCCGACTGCTACCTGCTCACGGGTTCAACATACTTACCACTATATCACCCTTCACCACCCCTCAAACCTCTGCGCCCATCTTTCCCAAGATGGGGCTCGCCTCATCACAAACTTCCAAAGGCATTTATTGAAGATCCAGCCTGGGTACCCCTGCCGCCGTAGCTGCCGTTTCAGTGTAAGTAGACTCAGCCCAACTAATTCATCATCAGAGGTCATCCGCTGAATCCTATGCACAGCGCTTGTAATAACTGCCTTCTTCTGTCTCAACGTAGTATAGGACGTAAAATCCTGAAAGGTTCGAAACGTGAAGCCATCCTCTTCCCAGACATCTTCAAAGATCTTCGGAAAACAGTAGCATCTGACCCTGTTGTTATGATTTCAACCTGGGTGTAGAGAAAATCCCACTCATTCCGGCCTTCATCCGTTCTCTTTAGCACCAAGCGGCCATCGTAGGCGTCCATAAAACTTTCCAAAATTCTGTCCTTTCGCATTTGCCCTTCTTTCTTTGGAGCCCAGACGAAAATCGTCTCATCATCCATAAGTCTAACGCCTCTAATCAGACTTCTCACACTCCCCAATCCCCGGAGGAACTTATGTTCACAAAACGCACAGAGAATGCATGCCAGTGGGGGGCTACTACTCTTCCCCATTGGAATCCCGACATGCTGCTGAATAAGACGATCTGAAGCTACGACGTAGGTAAATTTCAATTCAAAATTTACCATTGTCTTAATCGTGTCCAAGTCAATTTCCAGCTATGCATCGTTGTCCACTTTGTTCGCAAAAGCCGATCCCTTGCCCCTACGCTTCACACTCACACTCATCCTTCCCTTCTCTCTAAACCAATCTATCAACCAATTAATTGCGTCCCGGATTGAGTCGTGAGGCAGTTGGCGAAACATCTCTTTAATATCAAAGGCTGCTCCTGTCAACTCCCCTTGACCTTTTCCCTTAACCCACTGATTAACTCCTTTCATCCGATCCTTCAAATCATTGGTCGATTTCAAATTGAAATGTTCAAACTTTGGAAGAACGAAAAGCAAATGATTCAAGGCCTTCGCAATTCTTCTCCCTCCCGTACGTGATGGTTCGCTAAAGGATGGGCTAATTGGGCGAAACCTGCTAATGTCCTTATTTTTTGGAATAACGTAAGCTCGTCCCAGTTTCTCATTCTTATCCCATTTTCCCAAGCTTTTGTGCAGGCCTAGCTGTTTAAACTCCACCTCACACGTAGCCAGAATCTCGGCTTCTGAATCCCATATTGCCGAAAAACTCTCGTTCCACCAAAAAGTTTCCTTGCTTTTGCATACACCAAAGGGCACAGAATAGCCGTTTCCGCTGAGTTCCGATCTACAGCAGAACAGACCATCTTTGAACATAGTTCCCTGACTTTCTGCATCTCAATCCCATGACCAATTCCCTTCGCAGTCTCAAATGTGACACATTCACGAACTTCAGGTAGACTGATCACGATGTCTAGACCTTGCCTACTTAGGCTATCATTCACTTTTTGCATAACCATTCGTTCCCGGACCGGTTCCGTTCGGAGCGGAATATTCCATGCATTTTTTACAAACTCTGAAACTCCCTTAAGTTCACTCAGCCGTCCTTGCACGTGACCCTCCACACGAGGGAGAGCACTATCTGCACAAGAGCAGATTCCCACCAGTTGCTGAGAAGCCTGCGGTTGGTTATGTAAGGCTTCCCCAATCGCCCGTTTTTTCTTCCGCGTAATAAGGAGCCTCTGAGACGTAAAAGTGGCTAGTGAAGCAGGCAAAGCATCACGAATCTTCCGAACCACAAGCTTACGAATGACGCACGTTGACAAACCATGATCATATCATGATTCATATGTTACACTTACACCGAACTGCTTCCTAATATTAAATTTAAGCCTCTGCCAAATAACCCCCGCAAGCGCATCTTTCAACAAAGCACGAATCCCTGGTCGGGAGAAGAGACTAACGGCTGTCAATAATCGCACCAATCCGTCCAGATCATATTATTACAGTCTCTTTTTATACCAAGGATTTCGGAATACTTGATGCAGTAACCTTTTCAGAGCAGCTTTTTCTATTGACAACACTCGTTTTCCCAACTTCTCGATCTCGAAGTTACCCCCCTGCTCGAGCTCCTTTCTACACTCTTTGATGCTCCTGCTTTCCCCCCTATGTTTAATCCTACTACATCCAATTTCTTTAACAATCACATCCCACGTTTGTCCCCACACTGTACCTCCTTCAGATACGAAACACTTATTACCCTTCCAGACAGATTTACACACCTCAACCAAGTTAATGGTCCTCAACTGATCCGTAACAAAAATCAAAGGTCGTTCAACTTTGTATTTCCATAAGCGTCCTCTCTTTCTTTCTTTCTGACCCTTCCTTCCCTGTTTCCCAGTCTTCTTCCTGCCCCTCTCTTTGAATTCAAACATGGTGACCACCTCCCGATGAAAACTTTCTCTACTTTTTCCAGGTCACCGGGCGGGACAAAAGCCAGAGGTAGCGCTACATAGTTCTCAAAGCCTTTATATCTCAACCAGTTATAGAGCTTTGAGTTACGATTATTACCCACTACTTTAGTTCTACTAACATGTTCTTCCCACCAGATAGATAGTTCTTGGCTTGTTTGACCAATGCACGTAGATCTAACTTCCGGATTAACCAAAACATACACACAACATCTCGGATCATCCCAACACCCGATATCTTTATCAACCAGATCATACCAAGTACCTATATATCTACTGACCCATTGAACTTCTCCCCTTAAAACTAGTAGGATGAATAAATACATCAGCACTCTCTCAAGCAAATCTCGTAGGGATTTAGATCCAATAATCGGATAAGCATTAAAGATCTTACGTATATACAGGAACTTACGTAACACGCTTCATCGTTCAGTCAGCATGGGGATCGCTGGCAGCTTCATCCGAAGGAGGTTCAGGCGCTAATTCGCGCAGCGTATCCCGTACTTCACGGATAACCACTTTCCCACCACGCTGCCGGGGGGTGGTTTGTCTTGGTGCAGCTGTTGGCGGCTGACTGCTCTCGGTGCTGAAGTACACGACTCGAATCTCAACCAGTTTGTCCACAGCTTCCGGTCTCCCCCGATACACAATACCGTCTTCACGACACATCTCTTCAATCATAGGCTTCCCTTTCTTGTTGAGGAACTTGCGGATGGCCTTCCTGAAGGCGACGGTCGTGTTGTAATCTTCTGCGGATGGCGCTCCTTCCCGAAACGGGGAGTACGTATACGGATAACCTAAAGTTGCGGCTCTTGCTCCTCTCCGAGGGACGCCTAACCTTAGTGATCTTTCGTTCATAGCCCTCATAGGGGCCAATGAACTCGCTTTCCCGACCTTCGAAGGTGACTCCTCTGGCGGGTTCACCAAGAAGGCTTCCGCCGGTTGTCGTTTTCGCTTTTCCAAGCGATCCTCCTCTTCGTTTTCCTCCTCACTAGACTCCATCTTACTCTTCCCTTTGACTGCTTTTTGCGACAAAATCGCGTTTCTTAACCGTCGTTCGAACATAATCTCAAACTCCTCTCGCAGCGTCTGCTTTTGTTTCGCTAGCAGTTGTTCCAACTTCCACTCCCGCTTGGCTTCCTTATCTTCCTTGGCTTTTTTCTTGGCCAACTCCACTCTCGCTTGCTCCTCCTTTGGTACTCGTTCTGCTTCATCTCGCTTCTTCGTTTCTTCTGCTACTCTCGCCTCTGCCTCCCGTCTCTCTTGTCTCTCGATCTTCAGATTCATGTACAAACAAACTCTCTTTAAAGATTCTTCCAAGTCTTTACTCAGTCCCGTCGTTGCGATGGGTTCATTCGTCGTACATGAGCTGCTCAGTCCCGTCGTTGCGATGGGTTCATTCGTCGTACATGAGCTGCTTGCTCCATCCTGAATCGTCCGCCCACCGTTCCCTCCTCCTTGTTGATTCCACTGCCGAGGTGCGTTGCACTCGCGGCTAATATGCCCTGACTGGTTACAATTATAGCACTTTGCAGAGCGCTTCCAATCACCTCCTCCGTTATTTCCGTTACCTCCCCCCATCCCGTTACCACGGCCTCCATTCCCGTTTCCGCCGTTCGAGTTCCACGCGCCACCTCCATTACCATTCCAGTTCCAACCATTCCCATTCCATCCATTCCCACCTCCATTATTCCACCCGTTGCCGTTCCCGTTACCCCAATTCCCATTCCCGTTATTACCGGGACCTCCACCGTTCCAATTACCTCCTCCGTTCCCTCCTCCATTCCCTCCACTAAAATTGCTGTTATTCCCTCCTTGCCAACCACCGTTACCACCTCCATTATTCCCCCCTTGCCAGCCGCCGTTGCCTGCTCCGTTGTTACCCCCAGGACCACCTCCCCCATTCCAGTTCTCGCCTCCGCCACCATTCCCTCCATCACCAGATCCACCCGTACTCATGTTGCGGCACCCTCGAAGCTGCCAAACACAGTCTTCGTCAATTCAGTGAACACCGAGAATGCCGACCGTACCTCGGAAGTCGACGCTCTCTCTGCAGAACACTCACTTCTTCAGAACATGGACTTCATATCGTTCACTTGACTCCAAAAGGTCGAACGCAAATAAATCGAACGTATCTTGAGAGTCGCTGTTCTCTCCCTCCTAAGTGCACTGCTACAGGGCCACCTTCTGCACAGGTGATACCAGATTGCCGGTTGCCACTGCTGATACCAGATGGTAAAGATAGAGTATGGCCGAGCACAAATCATGCACGACGACTCAGGACAGCACATAATCGCCACGGGCAACAATAATATGTGAGAAGCCAAAATCCCGAAGAATCTCCGAAAGATAGGAAATACAAGCCGAGATGGACACGGCCATGGATGCCAAGGCAACTATGCCGAGAAGTCAACTCCCTCCTCACCATAAAAGGAACGTGAAAACCGGAAGACGAAGCGAACTGGCGTTCCCCTACTAGCTTCAGCCGCTGCCAGTAAGCGGCCTCATCAGGGGGACTTCGAGATGCTTAAGAGATTAGTCTACTATTCTTTTATACTGACATTAAGCTCACAGGCACGATTAGAGACTAAGCTCACTTTCCCGAACTCGCTTGCGTCCCATACGCGACCGCCTGGCCCTGGCCGGTACTCTCTAAACTCCAGAAACTTCGTAATGGACCAGGACTGCACCTGGACCACTAATGGCCCGTAGCGACGGTACCGAACCGGTAACTTATTTACTTATACCCTGGGTAGCCTATTTACCTGTACTCTAATGGCCTGCCATTTTAGAAAAACTTATTAGCAGACTGGTTATTGGATCGAACCCCACCTCAAACGGTGAGCCGTGAAAAGCAAGGCAGCCGACCGCTACCTGCTCACGGGTTCAACATACTTACCACTATATCACCCTTCACCACCCCCCAAACCTCTGCGCCCATCTTTCCCAGGATGGGGCTCGTCTCATCACAAACTTCCAGAGGCATTTATTGAAGATCCAGCCTGGGTACCCCTGCCGCCGTAGCTGCCGTTTCAGTGTAAGTAGACTCAGCTCAACAGTGCAAATGTCGTATGGGTCTGAAAGATAGTTTTTGCAAGGTTTTGTGGAACCCTGCCTGCAAATATTTGTGCTGTCCCCCGAGACTTGGGCCCAACCATTATTTTTACTGTGAAACTACGACGACGTGCATTTTTTTGAAACCTACCTTAATTTATAAACCGCCCTATATTGACAGGGAGCTCCATGCCTAATATGTGCTCCATACCTGCTGTACATATTGCGCTGCACAGCGGCATTGGTGTTCATGTCTGTTCCTCCACTGGCAGGTGTTGTACATTTTTTTTCTGTTTTGTTATTTCGTTTTTTCTTTGTTTGTTTTCTTATGTATAACACGTCTGCCTGATGGTGTGTGGGTGTGTGTGTGTGTGTGTGTGTGTGTGTGTGTGTGTGTGTGACAACTGCGCCTGTGAACGCTGCACAGTTCAGAATTTGCAGAAATAACAGTCCACTGCAAGATCAGGCCGTGAGCAGTTCCAAACAGCAAGAAAAACAGTAAGCCATGCTTTCCACGGCCTACCCGTTGATAATTGGCAAAAAAGGGAGGTGGCCTGGCCTACCATCTTCACCCTAATAGAACGCCCGGTCATTATCACCGCATCTGGACCGAAAGTTGTGCCTCTCGTTCTCTCCCTTTCACTGTGTCCATTAGATTCTGACAGATCCAACGTGCTCTCTTACTTTGGCTCTCACCTTTCTCCCATAGAATGGAGGCCGTCGTTCTTACTTTTCGTTTTTTTTTTTTTTTTTTTTTTTTTTTGAACTGTGCTGGGCTTTAATATTCAAACAATCTTGAGTCGAGGCCGGGGACCTCACAATTCTACCCGGATTGCTGGAAACCAGGTCCAGCGTCCTATCTTGGGTAGCAGACTGGAAAGCAGGTCCAGTGTCCTCAGTGGAAACCAGGTCCAGCGTCCTATCTTGGGTAGCAGACTGGAAAGCAGGTCCAGTGTCCCTTACTTTTTGCTTTTTGTGAAGGGAGAGGCACTGCATCATTGTATTGGCGTTATTAAGTAGACCTCGAACTCAGGATCTGTTTAAAGATCTGTTTAAACAGATTTGGTGGTTGATCTCATGATGAGATTCGAGGAGCTCTGACCTCTGACGCTCCAATAGAAAACGGGCCCTGATAGAGGAAGGTCAAGTGGAGAAGAAAAAGAAAAGGAAAAAGGGAAAATCTATCCTGTAGCCACAAACGCTTTCACTATCACGGCAGGTAACTTGTGACGCGCAACCTCACACCCCGCGCGGCGTAGCGTGCCCTTGCGCGCCGATCAGAGTTATTGGGGGTGTGGCCGAGGATTTTTGGCCATAGGGATGGAGTCACCCGATCGAAACGGGGATCTCTTGGTTTCGGGCCAGAGGTTGCCAAGGAATTGAACCGTCGCCGCTGACGTCCAACGGGAAAGATACGCCTCCTCGCGGGGTAAAGGGAGTCCCGCAAACCGGAATGGCCGTAGTGAATCAAAACGAGAAAAAGCACTAGGGGGAATAGGCCAGGGCAGCGATTGGCGGAGGCCTCCGTTCCTCGCTACGCTGCGATGGGTTAGACGTACAGGTAGTTGGTTCGAGGCCTTGAGGCCTCCGCGCCGGACTCGTCAAGCCCGCGAGGACCCTCCTGCGCGGGAGGCGATACGGAGGGATGGCCCGCCGACACCCAAGTTCGAAATTCCGCGGGTCGCGCACCCGCGCCCCTGGAGAGATCGGGAAAATGCGCAGCTCCCTCGTACCCAAGGACCAGCCGTCGCCAGGAGCAAGAGACTCTCTGGTGACACCAGCGGCAATTGAACCGCGGCTGCCACGTGGCGTGGGCTGCCGACCAGGGTAGCACCGTCAAGTTGGTGTAGGGCAATATCAGGGTCGGAGAGGCAAATCGATCAATCAGGACATACCTATCTCCCCTTATATTACACGCCTGAGTCAGGTTACGCCAACAGATCTGCTCCGTTCGTCTCAGGGCGCGCCGCACGTCCGCATCGCAGTAAAGGCTGTCGTCATCTGCGATGAAGAAGGCCGGTAGGTTGCGCTTCCTCCCCTTATACTCTGCCCTATCAGCTGCCCGTGAGCAGGTCGCACGAGTATACCAAGGAGTAGGCAGCTTTACATGTCACCCATTCACACATTTTTCACACAAAGCCAACATTCATCAGGATAAACCACACAAGTGAGAGTGATAGTGATCGTTATAAAAATCGAGCCTCATAGAGTCTCAACTCGATATGTACACCAGGATAGAATGTCTCTCTCAAAAACAACATAGGTACCCAGCCCTCACGTCCCACTCTGCTGAGTAACCCATGTCTCGAACCCACGAATACCTCGGAGTGTACCCAAACATACACAAAAGCTCAAATCACGTAAATTTATCCCTACTGTACACACCGACATATCACACATCTGGACACAACCACCTCAATCATGCCAAAATAGGGAACAAATGATTCGCCCAGTACTACAATCTACATATGTACAGGTAGACAAGCTAGTCATGACTACACCTAGCTATACACATATCTAGCTCCGTCCCTATGTACAAACCTTGGTCCTACTGACGTACAGGCGAACTAGTCCCCACTCATTCATTACCCCCTCTGGTTTCACCTATACGGCTGAGTTATCTACAACCTAAGTTACTTTACTGGACCATTATTGTGAGGGTTCCTCTCCAATCTGTTTTCCCTCTCCCGCAATCAACTCCCACTGTCTAAGTCCCCTGGGCTCAACGCCTCTACCTTCAATTAAGTTTAGACTATATCGGGCCGGTCGCGTTCCTTTCCCTATCGCCCCTCTCCTTTTCTTCCCTTTGGGCTTGCCTCGCTTTCTTACATTTGCGAGGTGTATGACCGACCTCCCCACAAAAATCACATACTACCTTCGACCACCGATCTCGCATTCTCTTCTTTCTGTGCCCTATCCAACTTTCTTGTCCCACCACACTTCCTTGTGACTCTTGTCGCGCAGGGGAGGAAGATGGCCCTGCCGACCGAGCCTCTGATGACCAGGAAGACTCATACTCCTCTTCTTCCTCAACTACCCTTTTGCTTTCATCTCTCTTCTCGCAATCCCTCAATTTCTTTCTTTCCCTCGCCTCGCGCAGAATATAACAGAGGCCCTGATCAAAATCTCCTTTTACAAAGTTTCCTCGTATCTTGTCCCATATAAGTCTTCCTCCCGTCCCCCGAATCAGGTCTCGCTGCTTTGCACCTGAGAAATGCATGAGGAAGAAAAAACACTTACCATGCTCCGAAAACGCACAAACTTTATATGAAGCACGCTCATATTCTGCCAGATGCATAATCATATCGTTCCATCTTCTCAAGATCATCCCTGGTTAACTGCTCCTCACCCAGTCGGTACTTATTCCTCATGTCATTATGGAACTTCCTCCACGATGACTCTGCCTTTTCGATCAATTTACTGACTTCCTCCTTTAGGTCTACATGGATAAACTTTATGACCTCCTTTAACATCTGCTCCTCATTCCATTCGCGTTGAGACGCCAACTGTTCAACTTTATCGAGGAAGTCAGAGACATGACAACCATTGAAGAGGCCAATCTCCATTTTAGGTGCGTTCGATCGCTCCGGATCCCGCATATCGGGCAAATAAGCGAGCTCCTTGACCCCACCCCTCTCTCGCAGGCCTTGCGTCACGGATTCCTTTGATCCCATCTCCTGTTGGACAAACAACAATTGATTAGGATCGAAACCCGAGAAGAATTATGCATTCGAAACATGGTCTATCACGACAAGCTTACACCTACACCCACTTTTCCAATACTTGTACACAATGTACACTTTATATAGGCAGGGTCCATTAAGGCTGACTGTAGGCAGCTCCTACGTTAAGCATGAGGACGACCATAGCCAATCCAAGAACAAATACACTTAGTGAGACGGTAAAGACCCTTCTTAATGGACCACTGCTGCTCGA